AATACTTCTAGAACTTAATCTTTAGTTTTTAATAGAAAAGCCCAAACTTTCCTTGAATAATCATCAATGAAAGTAACAAAATAAAGTGCACTACCATGTGTTCTAACTTTTAAAGGACCATAAACATCCGAATGAATCAACTCCAAAACATTTTCTTTTCTAGAAGCAACATTTTTATGAAAAGAAACTCTATGTTGTTTACCCGCCAAACAATGAACACAAGTTTTAAGATGTGTACCTTTCAAACTAAGTAGAAGCTCTTTCTTGAACAAAACTTGTAGCCCCTTTTCACTCATGTGCCCAAGTCGCCTATGACACAATTCAGTAGAAGTTTCATCTTCAAGTGCATTGATAACACCGTTACAAATTTTTCCTTGCATCGAATAAAGTGTATGAGTCTTCTTGCACTTAGCCACCACCAAAGAACCCTTTGTGAGCTTCCATATTCCATCACAAAATTTGTTGTTGAAGCCTTCATCATCTAGCTTCCCAGTAGAGATCAAATTGAGGCGAATGTCGGGAACATGCCTCACATCTTTAAGCAACAACTTGCAGCCCAAATTTGTTTCCAAGCAAACATCACCCATACCAATAATCTTGGACAAACCTTCATTACCCATTCGAACAAAACCATAATCTCCTTCGGTGTAGGTAGTGAAAAAATCAACTCGAGAAGTCACATGAAAAGAAACACCGGAATCAATCACCCAATTGCTCTCTTGGCCCACAAAATTGATACAGTATTGGATATTCTGGGTATCTGGCCGATAAAAATTCAAACATCTTATCGATTGTTATGTCAAATGCCGAACACAAATACCTCCCTTTTGCATGAGGATATTCAAAAAGGAAGATATGTGCACTGGTGTTGTTGTGTCTTCTTGCTTCTTATCCACACTTTTGTCACATATTTTCTCCTTGTTCTTGAGCTTTCGGCATTCTCGCTTCATGTGCCCTTTCTCATGGCAATAATGGCACTCAATGTCTTTCTTTGAAAAAGAACCATCTTTTGATTTGTCACGGCTTTGATCACGACCATGAGGAGTCTTACTCCTCCCCCTTGTTTTGCTTCGGCCTCTCACAACAAATACTTTCAAATGAGAGGAACCCGCTGATTTTCTTCTAGTTTCTTCATTCAACAAGTTATTAGTGACTTGGCCCATTGTGACAATTCCATCAAGTGCCGAATTACTAACTGTCACAACCAAAGTCTCCCAACTTTCGGGTAAGGAACTAAGTAGCATCAAAGCCTGCAACTCATCATCAAAAATAATTTTCATAGAAGCAAGTTGGTTAACAATACTCTTTATTTCATTCAGATTTTTCGGAATAGGGCTGCTCTCTTTATATTTTAAATTAACCAACTTATGAAACATAAAAACTTTATTTGTGGCTGATTTTATATCATAAAGGCCCTCTAATTTTTTCCATAAATCATGTACCGAGGTTTCAGTAGCACATGATGAAACACACTGTCATCAATCCATTGACGGATAACACCAACGGCTTTTCGATTAAGCCTATTCCATTCAGCATCTTTCATACCCTCAGGTTTGCCACTATCACCCTCAATGGGTCCATACAAATTTTTACAAAATAATAGGTCCTCCATTTTAGTTTTCCAAGTTACCCAATTGCTTCTATTGAAACTAGACATACGACCAACATTCTCCTCCGTTGATTTACACAAATAAATAAACCCAAATAAACCGTAAGCTCTGATACCAGTTGTTAGGGAAAATCCGATGATTCCCCCACAAGTAAATCAATCAATGGGAATAAAAACTAATGCAGAAAAATTAAATCAAAAGCAACATAAGAATTTTTACGTGGTTCTCTCAATGTGGGTACGTCCACGGGATTGAAATCCGATTTCACTATCAACCAAATAAGTTCCAAACGATTACAAACGAGACACGAATGGTCTCACAAAAAACACCCTTAGGTGAATTCCAAATAATTCACAAATAAACAAGAGGAAAGATCTCACTAAATAGATGAACCAAAATCTTCAAAATCAGAGTTGAACAAGACCCAAAATAATAATCTAAATCTGTGTCACCAAATATCAACAGAAAAACACACCACCACCGAATCAAAACCTCATAGCCGTTCTTGCCACAATGCTCATAAACGTTGGGTGCTCACCTTCAGAAAAGGATACCAAATTATAGGGCAGCCGCACGGTCCTCCTTTTGTGTGTGTAGAACAAAAATAATATATATTAGATATATATATTATTAAATCTTAGGTTTTGTAATCAAATCCTAATTGTATCTAAATTGAATTAGGTCTCCACAAATTAGATATAATATATAAAAATATATTATACCTAAACCAAGTCAAATTAAAATTCTTTAACAAACCAATTGGGTCCCACACTCCAATAAGGAGGTATACCCAAAAAAAAACTGATGGACCAAAAATAATAATAATAATAATAATAATGAAAGAAATCGTTGGAGATTATCTCATTATATATTGTGAAAAATTAATAAAGTAGAGAGCTAGAAAAATTAATACTTTCATAGTTAGGAGGCGATGGAAAAATGATAGCATCTAATGAGTTCAACGCGAAAAGAAGGTGGATTCTCCCTAATTCATAACAATTCTGCTACAGACCCCCACTGGGGGTCGACCCCCAGTGACGTGGCGGGCCTTCATTGGCCAGTTTTCTGTTTTTTTTTTTTTTTTTTCTTTCTTCCAATCCCGCAGTGCCACGTGGCACTGGGGGTCGGTGGGGGTGGCATTTGCTGGGGGTCTAAAGTATTATTCAATTCATAATTCGTAATTCAAATTAAAAGGTGCTATTCGAGTTCATCCTGAGTTTTATTTTGATAACTTAATTTATTTATTTGTTAAGTCCTTTGTATGTATCATTTATAAAAAAAAAATTAAATTAATTCAATAATTATAATTGGACAAATTATACTAACGATTCCTATAGTTTAGGATTTGTGTTGTTTTGGTCCCTGATTTTTTAAATGTGGCATATTTAACCTTAAATTTTGAATCTTGTTCCAAATAAAGACAATTGAAGATATCATTGCTCAATTTCAAGGGCAAAGTCGTCAATTTGATAAAATATAAACTAATTTGACAAAAATAAATGTCAAAAAAATATTTTTGAATTTTTAAAAATTATTTCTACACACCAAAGATAAAATTATATAAAATTGATAAATCTTTTGCACATTTATTATGTTTTTTTTTTACCAAATTAATTTTTATTATGTATTTGGATGATGATCATGTAAGGAGTGGTTGTTTTTATTTTCATTAAATTAGTTTCTATTTTTTCAAAAGTCAAATATGGCAATAATTTTGATATCATTGTTAAACTAATCTATCAAATCAAAAAATTTAAAACTAAAAATATTTCATATATTAAATATATTGATTACACATTAAAAGCTTAACAACCACCAATTACATAATCATCATTCAAATACATAATAAAAATTAATCTAGTAAAATAAATAAACAAATAAATATGTAAAAAAATTATCAATTTTACATAATTTTATCTTTGGTGGGTGGAAACAATTTTTAAAAATTCAAAAAAAAAATTATTTTATCAAATTTATGACTTTATCCTTAAAATTGAGCAATGATATCTTCAATTATCCTTATTTGAAATAAAATTTAAAATTTAAAGTTAAATGTGTCACAATTAAAAAGTTAAGGATTAAAATGATACAAGTTTCAAACTATAAGGACTACTAAGGCCTCGTTTGGGAACAAGCTAATTTAATAACTTTTTGACTATTTGGTTAAAATATGAGATAAAAAAAAACTAGTATGTTTGGGATGACTTTTTAGTTTTTTACGAAAAGATGTGCAAAATGTAGAGAGAAAAGATAATATTTGACTTTTTGGTATAGGTTATTAGTTTTTTGACTTTTTTAATAACTTTTTAACTTTTTAATTAAATCGACCTGTTACCAAATGAGACCTAATATGATTCACCAATTATAATTTATTTAATATATTTCCAAAAATATGAGCCACATATACGTTTTTAGGAGTAGTTCATTTAAAAACATGACGGTCAAGTTGATCCATCTTACATTTAATGTTATGCTCTTGTTTGCGTATCGCTTTCACGCAACTTGTTTATTGAATTATTGGTCTCCTTTGTAAATTTGACTATTTTAATAAGTTATTTTAATTTTTAATTATTTTAATAAGTTAAAATATTTATATTTAAAAAAATAATTAATTTTTTTAATAATTGAATAATAAAATGATTATAAATTAAACATAATATTTTATCTTATTAATTATTTTAATTTATTTTATCTCTTTGTAAATTTTAATCTAAAAAATAAAAAATAATCTTGGCCAAACAAGGCCATTATATCCAAAAAAACCAGCCCCCAACAGCGATGTACAAAATTTTCCTTTAAAACTCTAATCGTATAACTCACCATATGATGATATGATGTATTGTTTACGCTTATTTATTTGTGGTTTTTTTTTTTTTTTTTAATACCGCATCACTAGACTTCAATTTAAATCTCTAATTTTAAAACTTCAATCATTACTCTGCCGACAATTTTGAAATCTTTGGATACATTATTGCCGTAGACAAAGTATCCAAAGATAGCAATCAATTATATAAGGATATAAATTACACTAACTTCCCCCTCTTGACGGCAATTACAAAAATCTTACGCTCAAATCACGATTCTAATTACCGCAACTATTACCCTATAATCTTTACATCTCGCAACCATAACTGCATTTCGAACCTTGGGGGAAGTGATTAGAGAAAGAACAAATTCGTTAAGTTCCAGGAGGTGAGACTTGGAGTTTTGATTAGTGTTAGAAAGGAAAAAGTATTATCTCACAATATATTTTATTATTTAATTAGAAATATCTCTAGGCAAACAAGGGGAAAAAATGGTAATCTAGAATTATTGATCCACGTCGAACGCTCGACCGAAGGAATGAGTCACAAGGTGAATTGTAAGCCCCAACGACAAACGAACTGGAACTAGCCTTTGGCATTTGTCCCAATCAACTTCAACGACTACTATAGGAAAATGGAATTCAACTCAAACTATTTGGAAAGAAACTTTGAACTAAACGAAAGATCATTAGGTACACAAGCAGCTTGCCCAGCCTCATCGTTATGCAGCTTCGAAAACGAAAAAAAGGGCCTAATTTCGAGGTTGAGTTTCATGTGACGAAATATTTTTGGAAGGTCAACACCAAAGCTACTCAAGGAAGGTAAATGTAATTTTAGAAACTTAAAGGGAGGCTTCTGCAACTATCATATAGCTGAGGGAAGGTCAGTGTAATTTATCCATTATATAAATCCAAGTTTATCATTGGCTCCTCCCCTCCAGAACTCGTGAGAAGATAATATGTCGACTCTTCTTTCAAGCTGGTCTAAGGATGTTAACACCGTGCCACAAAAATTTGTCTTCCCACCGGAAGAAAGGCCAGGAGACCTTCCAGCTCCTCTATGCAAGGGCATTCCAGTCATTGATCTACAACAATCAGGGGGTCATCATGACAGAGCTGATTTACTTCACCAAATTATAAAAGCTAGCCAAGATCTTGGCATGTTTCAGGTTCATTTTTATTAATCCTTGCTTTTTTGCTCTTCATATATATACAAACGCATGTTATATTTGTTTAACCAAATGATGCAATCAATTATGATTATATAAAACAGGTGATCAACCATGGAGTATCAGAGGAACTAATGGATGATACAATGAGTCTGTTCAAGGAGTTCATTGACATGCCTGAAGAAGACAAGGCCAGTTATTTTTCTGACGACACAAGTAAGAGCTTCATGCTCTTCGCAGCCAGTTCTAATTCTAATTTGAATAAGAAGGGTAATGTTACCTACTGGAAGGATTCATTGAAACATAGTTGTCACCCTTTAGAGGATCACATCCAATCGTGGCCTGAAAAGCCTGCTAGATACCGGTAAACTCCACAACCCCATTTGTCCATTTATATCAATCTAGTCTTACTGTTGTGTACTTGTGTTGAGTTGAGTTGTATACTTTTTTGTTAATTGTCTTTTCAGGGAGGTTGTTGGGACATATTCATTGGAAGTGAGGAAGTTAAGCTTGAGGATTTTAGATCTGATTTGTGAAGGATTGGGAATTGAAGAGGGGTATTTTGCAGATGAACTGAGTAAAACCCAAGCACTGGTAGTTAATCATTACCCGCCATGTCCAAACCCGAGTTTGGTCTTGGGAGTCAGTGCACTTTGACCAAATCTCTTAACCATGCTTCAGCAGGAGGAGTATGGGCTTCAAATGTACAAGGATGAGCAGTGGTTGGTGTTGAACCTCTCCCTCATGCATTTGTTATCAACATAGCTAACCAATTAGAGGTATATCTCCACCCCATTGTGCATAAATCTAGACAGTTCACACATTATTGGCCCTTTCAATTCTATGACTCTGTCTGACTAAAAATCTGTAACTAAATGCAAACTCCGTTGGGCTTGTATGTAGTTGATCAGCAATGGGATGCTAAAAAGTGCTAAACATCGAGCAGTGACAAATTCAAGCATTGCTAGGACATCCATAGTCACTTTTATTGCTCCATCTAGAGAATGCGTCATCGAACCTGCAAAAGCACTTGTTAAATCAAGCAATCCCCAACTGTTCAAAGGAGTTCATTAACACTTGCACGCCCAAGATTAAAGACCCTAAAGATACGACGTTGAAGTCATACAGGCTCCAAGCTTAAGTTATGGTCTGTGGAAGGAAAATGCAAATCCAATTAGAGAAGTCATAACGTAGTTTCACGTAATTGATTAAACTGCTTGGTTACATTCTCAGAATAAAATGCAATTCATTCTGCAGCTCAACCCAAACTAATGCCCGTTATAGTTTTTCATAACTCGCTGTGAACCTTTTCGATTATTAATAGCGGCTCGTGAAGTAGCCCTCTTTCTTTACAAAATGAGTGGATACATGCCCCTTTAATTACTTTCCATTATATGTAAACCGACATTAGTTGAATGCAATTTCCAAGCACACTTCTGTTACTACCTATCAAATGTTGCTATTGTGAGGAAGTTCCAAAGTATTGGTTTACTCTAACACGCTTTCCCAATTCAAAATCTTGTTATAACAGATGCAAAGTTATTAAAGCCGATGTGATTCTTTCATGAGAAAGCCAAAATTTAGTTAAAATCAACCAAACTAAACCAAATAGAAACAGCTTAAGTGAAGAAGTTTCACATAAATCTGTACTAGTAATCATCTCCAGTGGTCTCCAAACAAGCTGCCATTTCCTAATTATACCAGCTTATAACAAGCTACAATAATCTAAGCAATGTTTAGTCCGTATTTTGAATGGCATAGTAAATTTGTTTTGGGCATTGCTGTATCCATTGGAGACAATGTGGCACAACATATCATGTTTGTTGTGCCTCTTGGAGTTGGTATTGGTCCTGGTGGTTACTGTATTATCAGTTTCACTAGACAAACTCTCATTGGCCCCAAAAACCAAACAAATTTCATTTCTTTCTATGTTTTGATTCTTCAAATTTTGGATGCTCAAATTTGCCTCTTTTTGTTGCTGGCCCCGCTCTTATCAGTCAACAAACATGAATTTGATTTCCTTTTTGCATATCACAAACATTGGTGAATCATACAAGCATAAAAAAATTATACTTACATGCATCTTTTTTTTTTTCTTTTCTTCTGGAAGTTGTCATTAAGGATTTCTAATTATTAAGAAAATTTTATTATAAGATATTTTTGGTATTTTCAAATGTATAGCTGGAACCTACCTAGCCATTTCGCATGCCTGTAACCATCACAGGTCATTTTTAAACAATTATTGCTTGGAATGGGTGATAACATTCTAGAAGGTTGTGTACGGATGGCAATGGATAATCCACCCTATGAGTATCTATGGAGACTCAACCTAAATACATGGGTTTTCTCCTTTTTTCTTATTCGTCGGGTAAGGTAAGTAATGTTTTTTAAATCTCCATAGGGGATGGGGCGGGGATGGATACCCACTAATTTTTCCATATTTTTTTTTTTTTTAGGTACAACGAAAAATAATTTCTTCATATGTTTTCACCAGGGATGGCAATGGGGATTAATGGAGTGGATATTAATTCCCGTCCCCATTCTCCTATAATTATTTTTCCCCCATTCCCCATTCTCCATTCCCCATAGGTACTACCCTCCTCATCTCCTAATGGGTTTAGATTTTCCCCAATCTAACTTGACCTTTTTTTCTTTTTGTTTTAAAGATTCACAACCAAAGCTAAATATACATTCAATTTTATTTGGCTCAAAAACAAAATCAAATACACATTAATTAACATTATCACATTATCCTTGTCAAATTCTATGTATATTTAGAATTTTTCAAATTTATTTAGAAAAATTCTATTCCTACAAAAAAATGCCATCTTCTTTTTTAATTTTTTTTTTTAATTTTATGTATCTCCTTCTCCTCTCTATTAATTGATCTTCGATAATCTAAAGGTGAGTCGTTACTCTCGTTTCCATCTTCTTCTTTTTTTTTTAATTTTTATTTGCATTTATAAAATGAATTTTCTTGTTTCAATATCTCCTGGAATTGTTTTATTGGATTTCTCTCTGATTTGATGGTAACCTTAGATTGAATTTCCCAATTTTCATCTTAACTAGTGATCACCTTAATTGAAATCTTGTACATTTTGGTCTTCAATTTCCATGTTTTGATTATCATTAATTGCGTATTTTGATCAATAATCACAATTTTGTCGCCGCTAAATTGTTGCCATCGCAAATTGCCGTTGCTATAGTGAGAGGATGAGAGAGAGTGAGAATTAGAACTCTAATTGTAAATAGAGTAGTGAAAACATATGGAGAAATTATTTTCCGATATACCTAAAAAAAATATATATATGGGGAAATTAGTGGGTATCCATCCCCTGTGGAAATTTAAAGAATATCACTTACCATACCCAACGGACAAGAAAAAAAGGAAAAACCCATGTATTTGGGTTGGGTCTCCATAGATACCCACATGGTAGGTGTCACGACCCAAACCCGCCCCTGTAGGTTTAGCACCGTAACCGGCCAGTAATCCGTGGATTACCAAAGGCCTCTGAACATATTAGCAAATAATAAGGGGCTGCGGAAGCAATAATACAAAATAGACAAGGTCCAATGAGCTGTGATAACGTACATGGGACAGAGACATTTCAAAAACTTATTTATATACACATAGGCATACCAGTCCAGATACACAATATTTACAGAATGTACTTCCCAAGACCTGACTTTACAGAGCATACACAAAGACTAGCATGAATACAAAAACAGCCATGGCATTAGGCTTTGTTCGGAACCTTCTCGGGAGGCTCAACAGTTGGCTGAAAAAAACAGAACGGAAGGCTGTTAACTCTGGCCCTGGTCATGTGCCGGCTCACCTACATACATAATATAAACTGTGAGCGAAAGCCCAGCAAATAATAACAGAGTAAAGGGGTTTTAATGAATGAGTTCGTACAAATTCAGAAATCATAATTCAGATTTGTATCAAATTCATCCTTTGTCCAGATCATATACAGACAGAAATCATATGTCATGATTAAGTTTACATGATACATCCATTAGTATTAACAGAACAGAACAGAACGGAACAGAACGTATACACGTGAGGTTACGAATAACCAGTTCCGTAAAGGAACCTCCGTATCCGGGCAACAGAACAGAAGCGGAGCCCTCGTGACAGGGCCTCCGGTACAGGTAACAGAGTGCAGACAGAAATAAGTTCCATAAAGGAACCTCCGATACCGGGTAACAGCTATTAGATATCACATGATGCTAAGGATGTCACGAATACATATCAGAAATTGAACAATCATTCATTGTACAGAACTTATCATTTCGAAAAACAGATCTTGTTTTATCACACAGAAAGTATATACAGTTTGAACATAACTTTACTAAGTTATTACTCACAGTTGGCCTTGAAACAGACAGACGGAGCAGATTGATCACACGATACGCGGCACGTGACCTACATAACACATAACAGATACACACTTGAAACAGACGTTCTAATTGTACAAAACTTACGTCGTTGGCTCTTAGTGTGTTTCTAACCTTTAATCCTCATTAAAGGGTCTTAAGCATGGCCTAGGAATGCCTAGGATGAAATGAGGATGCAAACATGCCTTGAAAACCATTTCCTAAATTTTGCTGAAGATAAGGTCCACGCTCGAGCGTGGATTACCCCGCTCGAGCGGACATACAGATATTGAAGCTCCGCTCGAGCGTGAACTTACTAGCTCGAGTGGACTGTAAAATCGACAAAAGTACTGGATGCATGATTTTCATGCTCGACGGGCACTCGATCCCCGCTTGAGCGTGATCTCCTCCGCTCGAGCGGACTGCAAAACACACAAACTTCTGGGTATACGCATTTCACGCTCGAGCGTAATTATCAACGCTGGAGCGGAAGTGCATGTACTCAAGATTCACGCTCGAGCGTGGAAGTCCCGCTCGAGCGTGGGTCAAATTTCTGGAAAAATCCAGATTGACCTCCAAGCATGAAACTCAACCTTTAAGCCTTCAAAACTCATTTTCTGGGCCAATATTTGAGGAAACACAGGGCTTGTTTGGTTTGTTTTTGGGAGAGTTGTTTTTGAAAAAAAAATTTGGGGAGAGAGTTTAGAAATTTTTTTGGTTTGTTTGGTTGTATATTTTGGGAGAGTTATTTTTTTGGGAGTTTGGGATGATTTGATATTTTGGGAGAATTTGAGTATATGTGTGTGAGAGAAAAAGTGATTGAGAAGGAGAGAGGAGAGAGAAAAAGTGATTGATTGATGTGTAAGAGAGAGAAAGTGATTTTGAAATTTTTTTGAGAAAAACTCAAACCAAACAGTTTTTTAGAAATTTTTTTCTAAAACACATCTCCCAAATGCAAACCAAACATACCCATAGTAACTCATAAAACAACATGTATTAAAAATCATTTCAAGAAATTATGGCCCAAGAGCAACCCAATTTGTGCAAAAATCAACTTAAACTTTATAGATGATCCAAAACATGACATGCATGTGCATTTTTGAGCTAAGACTCTTCAAAACATGATCAAATGTTATCAAACAACATGAAACTCCTTGTGTTTCCAGAATTAGAATGAAATCAACACATGTATGAGGAAATTCTTGAATTCATCCTTCAAAATGCTATGAAGCATGCATGCATGCATGAATTAATCCTCCATTCAACATTTAACCCAATTCTAGCTTTAGACACTAATTAACCATGAACCATGAAAGAAACAATTCAAATTCAAGTTCAAGGGGGTGAAATCTCTACCTTAGGTCTTGAATTCTAAGTGTAGAAGCTCAAATGTGCAATTCTTCTTTAGTTTCTTCTAAGTCTCCAAGCTAAAACTCTTGTTGAACTCAAATTCTCCTACTCTCCCTCTCTCTCTCGAATTGGTCTAAGAAAGAACGAAGGAATGATGCAAAAAGATATAAAATCTATTAATGGCCCAAAGTGCCCACTAGTGGCAAAGATGCAATTAATTCAAGTTGATGTAATTTAACTTTATTTAATCATACCAAATCAAATTTAAATTAAATCTACTATAAAATCACATAAATTCTAATAAACACATAATACTAATCAATTTCGGAATCAGGCGCCGATAAGACTTTCAATTCGCAGTTCAAAGTCAAAACATGAACAGATCATTCTACACTGAACGGATAGAACACAAAAATCAAACAACACACATGCAAATTAATTCCAAATTCCTTCTAATCTACTGTTAGGCATAATTAAGTGCGAATTAACATTAATCAGAGGTCGGGGTTATTACAGTAGATTATCCATTGCCATCCCTATTTTCACTACTCTGTTTACAATTAGAGTTCTAATTCTCACTCTCTCTTATCTTCTCACTACAGGAACGACGATTTGCAATGGCGACTTAGAATAAAATTTGTAAACATTAAAGTGACAAGAATATCTTATTTCAGATATTCAAGAAAGTAGAATTTTCTCATTTTTTCTTTTTCCTCTTTTAATT